TATTGAAGAAAAAAATATGACGCCGTAAATATTAAATAAAATAAATCTTGTAATTATTTTTCCTAATTTTCCTAATAGGATCTACATTTAACAATAAAATATCAAAAATAATCAGTAAAATCGATATTATTTCTAAAGGTTTAAACTGCGGCGGTAAATTTGGTTTCAGCATTTTTCTATGAGATGATATCCTAATTCAGTCACAACATTCAACACTAAAATAATATCTGTTTTTAGATATTTAGAAAATAATATATAATATAAAACACTACACTTTGTACCAAAATTATTCCTTTCACTTGGTTTAAGAAACAGCATTATCACCTAATAGTTTGATACAACTACAATATTTCTACTTAAATTCAAATAACTTTATTCAAAACGCTTTTGAAACGTCCAACATTTTTTCTAGGATGTCTTTGTACTGACAAGGAGAATGGTCAAAGTCAACTTATACCCTGAACTAAAAAGCTAGATTGTCCCATTCCGAGACGAAACGAATGCAAGTTGAACTCTGAATGTCCACAGTGTTTTTGTTGTTGATTTTTTACATATTTTTTAATACGCGGCTACGTTCTTTGTGCCCGTAATGATTCGGTCTAGTACACACTAGAAAAATACCTGAGTATTTTTATACACACCTATATTTCTATTTACCCTTGAATATTAATAGCAATATTTATGATTACATAATCAAGTTGGATTAAAGAAGTTTTGGCTATTAATTGGCTTTAATACTGCTAACTATTGCACATAAAGTAATTTTAACTTTGTTGCACAAATAAAAGGAATTTATATGTGGGAGAGAACTTTGGAAGGCAGTGCAACATTAAAATAATAAACTACACATAGGTAAACATTGATATATTATGATATATTATACATCATATAAAGCGTACTGAAATTATCTAAGAACTGTGCTGAAATTATATATAATTTTTTCTCGAACTTGAATCAAAATTTACAGCGGACTGTAATCCAAACTTTAATATTTAAGGTTAAAGTATAAAATTGGATTTATATTGATAATAACAAAACATCTTTTGTTTACCCCACTACGGCAAAGCGAAAAGGAGGGTTATGATTTTGGCCGGTATGTAAGAATGTCCATCTGTTATAACTTCGAAACTACTCATCGTAGTTGGACAAATGAAATATCATTAGAAGCGTCTTAGTTGTCCGCGTACTATACGCTATGTGACTCTAAAGTAATAAAGTAAGAAAAAAATATTCGGTCATTCCGTGTAGGATATCAATCAAATACAAAAAAAAAAGAAAAATTAATTCAAAATCTTTAGAACTTTAGTTTTTGAACTTATTTTAGCAATGACCAAAGAACAGCGTAGTCATATGCCACAACAGTTTTTGTTATGAACAGTGGCATACGACTACGCTGTCCTTTGGTCATCGTTATTATAATAAAGCTCGTTATCATTGTAATATAAATTTCTTGTTTTTCACCCTCATTATCTATACATTGTTGCAAACCAATCTTCATTTATGCCTTGTGATGGAACTCCGGTGATCTATATTCGACAAACAACGTGAAAGTATTGTGTTTTGCTTTTTGGGAAAAAAAATGTGAATACATAAAAAACAAAAATGATGCCTAAGTAAATAATAAAAATCTACTTTGGCCAGTTAGTCAGACTGAAAAATATTAGATAACAAGAAGATATGGCTTAGACAACTCACCTGTAGAAAATTTCAAAGGTGTGACGTCATTTCAACTATGTATCCCAGTAATTTATTGATTATGCAATAAATAAAATAAATATGTGTTTAATATTTTTCGATCATTTAACTGACGGACAGACAAAGAAAGTTAGTAGTCATCATCTCAATTATTTTGTTATTAAAAAATATATATTTGTTTCCTATTTTTCAGATGCTTAAAAAAAGAAAATTACCGGCCAGTTTGAAAAATTAAATCAATTTAAATGATAAATTGTAGATCATATTGACGTTATTTATTGTAATTATATAGTGTAATATCTGAACGCTACGTATGTATGTCTACTAAAACATGATATGGATAATAACATAAGTAAAAACCTGTTATTACCACTTTTTTAAACAAATAGTTTTGATATGATTTTAATGTGAACGCTGACGTCATAATTCAAAAGTCATCCGATCATAACAACCCTTTGATGGGCAATGTCATACACCTCCATATATATTGCACAGTTATATAATACTCGGTAATTTTTCATCACGGCAAAAGCAAGACTTTTAATCTGCACTCGCCCGAGGGATCCTATTGTTCTGGACAGACAGACAGACGGACGGCGCTTTGTCAAACACATATAGTTATAATATTTATGTTAGCACAAAAGTACTGATAGTGATTGTACCGTTTATACTTATGAAACGTTAATGCGTCAAGTCACCGAATGCGGTAGTTAAGCAACATTCTCAAACGCCGATTATGGGATGGGTGACCGATAATTTACAGTTACTTTAGTGATAGGAAAATCACGTTTGCCGTTAGTTCAGATCGCATCTGCGTCTCTGCGATAGTTACAGCCTAATTAATTCTCTTCCTATTTAATTCCATCCATAGGGTAGACCTGGGCTTAGGCCACAGCAGTAGGGACGCTAATAGACATCGATATAAAAGAAAATAATAGTGTTTCTCTCTCGATAATAAATATCTCAAGTATCACAAATGATTAAAATATTCAAGAACTAATAAATAAATAAATATTTGACAACATCAAATTGCACAGATTGTCGTTTGTTTAAAATGACAACCTATAAAAAAAATTCAGACGATCAGTTGCAGTTTTACTTGACATTGGCAAAACGCACAAGACGTGCTAGTCATAGAATAAAGATCGGCTGTGCAATTTAATGCTATATTTATTCATTATTTCAAAAATAAAAATATGTCTAGGCACCCTTCACTAACCAATAACTCCCCAGGACAAGCTAAAACCACAATAGATTCGAATGAAGTAAATCATTTTTCCCTAAAGCGACACAATTCACGGAGTACCTATGCAAAAAGACACTCCCGCCATGATAATAATCCCATAGACAAATTTATGACACCACCAATGGTGCTACAGAAATTTGAACTGTATTCCTTTTTACTTAAGATCATTTTATTAAAAAAGTGCTTTAGTTATTCTTTTATTTTCAATGAGCTAACAGACATTAAAATATTGAAAACCTAACTTAACTAAAAAGTAAAATAATTTACTTAAATAGGCGTAGTAAGAATCTTATCGAATGTGTATTTTCCCACAAACATCTAAGAATAATTTTATAAAGAGAGAGGGCTATGTTTGTTTGCATCGATAAGGTTCCGAAACTACAGGACCTATTTTAAAAATTCTTTCACCGGTTGTATTAAGCTATAATTATCGCAGGTGAAGTCGCGGGAAACAGTTAGTACTATATAAACTTGTAATAAAGCTTCTTCTATCTTTAGTATATTAACACTAGGTATAAACTATTATCCGACCAAAATAAGTCAACACGTCTGAATTTGACGGTCTGTCTTCTTTCATTGTCAATTTATGTAAGCGGCCTCTTTTTACAAAAATATTAAATATATTCAAAAGAAAGAAGAACATTATTCAAGTGTTACAACCTTTCAATAAATATAAACTTAATGGACGTTTATGCAATTGGGTGTAAAATTACTTTTTCTTATAATAAATAATAAATCTTTCTTTCTTTTCATATAAATATTAACTGTTTATTTCATACTCCTCCGTGCTCAATTTTCATAAAATCACTATAGTATTTATTCCACGCATTACTATTCTTAAAATATTCCCGCACTCTTGAACCCGTATCTCTATAGTAGAGAGAAGTAATTACTTGAGAAAATGTAAAACTTAAGCAAGTATTTCAACCAATAGACGAGAATTAGAAAAGACAGAATAAGAACTGTTAATAGCTAATAATAATAGTGTTCTAATTATCGGTTCTCACTTAGTTCAAATTCTTGTTTATTAAGTAAAGTATATACTTAAGTTATTACATACTTTCAAGTAATTACTTCTCTTTTCTATAGACAGGAGTATTAGAATACTGGCGTACTCTTAATATTGCTTATAGAAAAAATCATTCAACATAATCAAAATTGACCCAAAGCGGGACCCCACTTCGCTGCCGACCACAAATCATACCAGTGTTCCTCCCTAGGTTGGCCTAATTGATTTGTGGGCCCACGTCGGCACGGGACGAGTTTTTGTCCCTCTCACACACTTTCCCAAGACAATTTGCCCTTGACAAATGGCAAGAAAGATTTACAGAAACAACAGTGCTGATAAAAAATGCGCGGAGAAACGGCGTACCGGCTTAAATCGTAACATCCAATTATTACAAACTAGCCGTTTTACCGCAACTTTGTCCGCATAAACAATAGCTTACATCACCCGCGTATGATGCAATTTCCCGTGGGTGAAATATTTTTTTATCAGATCAGTATTTTCGAACATACAAACAATCAAGCAAAGTTAGAAAATTGACCTCTTCATTATATTAATAAAGATGAACAGGTAAATCGGTCTCGTTTAAACAGCTAACATGATTTGAATGAAATTTGGTTAGAAATAATGTAAATAAAGGAAATAGTTACACCTTAGAAGACTGTCTTTATCTAGAAAATTATTCTACACAATAGTGATAAAAGAAGTGAAAGTTTGCATGAGAAATCATGCACATGCTTTAACGTAGATTGAAATCACCATTTCCAGTAAACCACTTTACGGGATTCTTTACGGGAAGCTATATCATACGATTGTGATATATTTATAATTAACGCTAGCAAAATTTCACATTTAAATATTATGATTATATTACTAAGATAACATATTCCAGTTACTTCAACTTCACAATACAAGCAAAAAAGGATCGAATCAAACTTTTTATTCACCGCATAAATTGAAAAAGAATAGATTGATATACTCCGTCCTTGTCTTGCGTGTCACTTCATGTTGGCTGCCGGTAAGCCTGTTCGACAAAGGAGCGCATATTTCTTTCTATTCATCCGGTGGTATTGCGGATAGGGCCCGCGCTGGTATTATACCGCGTTTGTTGAGGGGTGCTAATGTTATACCACTGGTATACGATACAAAGGATCGGTTCTGTTGATTATAATTAGCATTCGCATTATCAATTGCTAAAGGTTCATTAGCATTTACAAAATAATTCGTAGTTGCTAATTGCTATTTAATATAACATAAAATCATCTGCTTTGACGTCCTGCTGTATACATATTCATTGGCGCTAACGACTAATGTAAAGTTCCTAAACTAATGCAAATTCGAACTCTCTCAGAAATTTACATTAGGAAATAGCATAGCACGTTAGCATAATTTAAGTATTAGCCCTTCATTTAAACACCTTTTTTGAACGGTCTGTCTACTTTCAAAACCTGCTAAAACGGTTTTGTAATATATCGAACCACTGAAGTATTATCTAATAAAAACAACATAATAATTAGAAAAACTGAATATACATAAAAAAAATAAACATCATCCTTCTAATCTGTGAAAACTCGATCGAATATTTTCCCTTCGAAATACAAATCGTCAACACTTAGTAGTGGCAGCAAAACGTCTGATTGATAAAAATTACTCCCCAAACATTGCGTCAAAGCCTTTAGCGAGGGCGACAAATATACCCCCCCCCACTCCTTTCCCGTCTCCCACAGGAGCACTACGTCTGGATCCATAGGACAGGTAGTGTAGTTTATGGCCCAACTCTTAGTACGCGTAAGAATCGCAACTATACTTTTCGATACATAATTTTGATTTAATTTTATTTGTTATCTTTATAACAAAGCTTATTTTTCTCTTTTCATTTCATACGGTGCATCGTTATGGTATTTTAATCAGTAATTGGTAAGATAGAGAACGTCACAAGCTACTTTTTAACGTGAAGAAAAAATTTCAGTTACATATTTCCCTATTTCCCGTTTTCATTTTCTTTATAACACACTTTTAATATTGTCGGAATCAAAAGACTCACCAAATCTCGATAGTTGTCATCAGCATAACCTGAAAATAATAAGGTCAACGTATTTATCGATACATTTTGGAAAGACAACTAACGGAGTTTTGAGGTGGAAAGTTTCATTCATTTTGTAAATACTATCGTCGTGATAATGTAATTTCATAACGTAGTTTACAATTATAAGGTAACGTAGTTTACAATCTTTACGTTATAACAATATTTTAAACAACCTTTTATTCGACTTTGTCCCCTTAGATATTAAAATGGACCAGAAATCTAGTAAACACAATCAAATGAGCCGAAACTCGACAGGGTTGCGTTATTTACATTAGAAATTTCCAACGGTCATCTTTCAGTTCCATCATCGGTCCCTCGGTTTATCTCGGACTACAGTCAGTATAGACAAATCAAACGATTCTAAATTTAATGGCTAAGCTATAATATTCGATTAATTACAGCGGTGCCATTGGTTAACCTCCACGAGTGCGACCGACTAATAAATTAACATCCTTATATAATGATCGTGTTTATTATTTACATATTTAATCAAACGTTTTGGTTGTTACAACAACTTTACCAAATTATCAAACAAATTTAAAAAAATGTCGAATTTAACTTTGTATTTCCCAAAAAAAAAAAAACTAAAATATGTCATTAAATACACAAATAAAAATATTGAATTATTCAATAGTATCAAAATATTTATTGCTAAAATCAATAAAACATGTTATAACTATGATTAGAGTTATAGAAATAGAGTTACGCGGTAACTATTAAGCTCTATCAGATCAGCTCTAACTCATATGGCATGATAATGCTAAAAAATATTGGAGTAAAGACCAAGAACAAGCAAGAGAATCTTAAAGATCGAGAACTAACAAGATGGACAGATGATATTACGAGACAATGCGAGAAAAACTGGACGTACAAAGCCCAGAATAAAGTAGAAATGGCGTGTGAACCAAGTTATATATGCAAAATTGCAACTCAATCGAAAACACGTAAGTGGTTCAAAGGGTTACAAGATTTGACCAGTGGGTCAACTAGGTAACTAACAGATTGAGTGGTTCAAGAGCAAAAGCTGATTTTAAAACAATACAAACCGTTAGCAGTTAAGGCAGTCAACCCGCTCAGATGCCTGGATGCTACATCACCCCAAGATTGTCTGTTGAAATAGAAAAAAGTTATGTTTAAATACTTCCATAGAAACCTTTGGTTGTATTTCATCAATGCGGAAGTATTTAAAAAAAACAATAGTTCCCGAAATCAAACTAGATGTCGTTACGGGACTTTCTTGATTTCTCCATGATAACCCTTCCGGTTTCCTTTCATGTATAAAAGTAAATTAGTTTTCAAAACCAATAAACAACTCAAATTTTATTTGTACTGATATATAAGTATCAAACTTTGCAAATTTAGTTTTTTAATATGTTAGTTAAAAAGAACGGAAATGACTATCTTTGCTCCATTCATTTCCTGCAAAAATCAACATTTGATAGAGTCGCCATCTAGTAGGTGCTTTTTAGTGCTTTCTTTTTTTTTAATACTTCCTCATTGTACATATACACAATACTATATTTATATGTATTTTAAAGGTAACTGATTAAAAATCCACTTGTACTAAATGCTCCGAGATGGGACATCTATCGCGCGACTGCTGCACGCTACGCATTGAGAGGACTCGAGACTGGTTAAGATAAAAGAATGTTATCAAAATAAAGCTTCTGTTAATCTTATCTTGTCTTTCAAATCTACTTAAAATTTGTTTAAAAAATAAAAATAGATAGGTATTTTTTTTCAACTTACCGATCATCGAAATCTCCCAAATTTTCGTATCTGCCCCTCGATAACGATCCAAACTTCTTAGCACCATAGTTTGACTCATCGAAAAACTTCTTCACTGGTAACTGTTTTAATAAAAAATAAATCAGACATGTTACATGCAACTCTGAAATTTCTCAATTTCATTCAAAACCTTAATTTGTTACTAGAAAATATCCAAAATTTTATCAGTATCGACATTTTGTATATTTTGTAAGAGTTGCGTAAAGTATTTACTGAATAATATAAAAACAATTTAGGGCGACCTTTAAAAGTCAGATGAACACTTCCAGCTATAGAACTATAAATATAGCATTATTTATGCGAAACGTATCAAAAAATATCAATAACTAGTAACCTTTTTAGTTTTATTAGCCATTGGAACGGTTTTGAAGACTAGAAAAAATGCCACCAGAACAGAAACGAAGAATAGCACGCTGAGACACGCTACGCACGTATACTCTGAGTTGATTATCTTCTTTAATCTGTTGAATAAGTTAGTCGAGTGTAAAATCTATTCATCGTCATTATCTGTTGTAACACAGGCTTCTTTCTTTTGGATAATACCTTAGAGGTATTACGCCACCAAGCGGGACATGTACATTGATATGTTAATGAAGGTAGATGGAGCCGATGCCAATGATTCTAAAGCATGAAGACTACACGAAGGACTTCAAAAAAATTTCCTAACATTTGCAATCGCAGACCAGATGGATTAATTACTGAGCAATTAAACTCCCTTGGGCTATGTGAACATCTTACAACTGCCGTCTGTACTAGAATATGTTTCAATTTTATGCCAACATTTGATCACCACTACTACTATAATTAAACTATATTACGAACAGATAACCATGATTACTGGTATTAACGGGGCACAGCGGTCCAAGATTTAGTCTCTGTCAGAGATATAATAATACAATATTAGGTGTCTGCCTGCTCCGCCTGGAAGGAGACGTGAAAACAAACACAAACAGTTTTCGCACCTAGGAAAAACATGATTGATGACACGAAGTAATTACGGTTTTTAATTTTGGTGATACTTACGCGCATGATCCGCAAGAGAATGTATCTTCAGAGCGTTTTTTATCCGCTTCACCCTAGAAGTAAATTAATATAATTATCGTAACTATCATCAGGTCTTCTGGAATCAAATCATTAAAGAAAGTTAATCTTCTCTGCACTTCGGAAGGAAATGGATTTATATTATAGTATAATATATTTATATCGTCTATCCGAAAATCACGCCTTGAATAAATTTCGAAACATTTTAAACAGAGACCTAGAGTCGTCTCCAAAGGATTGTTTTTACAGCATTGATCACAACTTATGCGGGTTTATGCCACTAAACATATTAATAAACATTTAATTCCTACTTAGCAGTAGATCTTTCACTCACCCCACAAAACCACCAACTCTCTTTCTTCTCCTCTTGAAATGGCTACATAGAACAAACAATAGATAGTGTAAATTATTTTTAATTCCTTTAAAATAATTATTAATATCAAAGAACAGAAAGATAAATGACATTCTGCTATAATCTAAGAAGGAAAACAGCTAGTTTGGAATAAAAACATCATGCAAGAAAAGAATTTCCGAGAGAACATACTCTTAATAGGTACTTACAATACTCTGCGTCCTGTACTGAATATATTCTTTACTCTTACGATCATTAGCAGCTAATCTGTGGTGGGAGTTACGTTTGTGATGCTCTGAGCTGCTGGAGTCCTGTATTTTCTGAAAACGATAGGAAATGTACCTTTTGAATCATTAAAAAATGAGAAATTGAATTTTACATATTAAGCATGTTATGCGCTATGAATAAAAATATCATGTCATCTGAAAATACGTCACTTTCTTAGCCTTAACAGATTCAAATTGTCTCTGTGCATATATTGTTTACTACAAAACAAGTCAAATTCTACACTCTATGATAAATTTTACTATCAACAAATTAATACTCAAAATTACGACAGTCGCTTAAGTACTTTTATTTCTGTCACTACCATTCATTCATACTCTCCAATATTAACATTTCTTCTGCCATATATTACGGAAATCGCTAGGATCTTAATCCTGTGTACAAACATTGTATTAAAATTCCCGAAAATATGTACAAATTATTCATTTGTCAGTATAGAAGCCTAACTAAAGGAAGCCAATACAGATGATCAGAAAAACCCAATTCAGATTCATGTGATCATCTAACATATTTGTAATAGTAAGAGTACCATACCACTACGGCTTGATTACATCGAAAGACTTAAATACCTGAGTACGCTGTTCGAGTTTCACTCGAGACTCAGAGTATTGTCGTCTTTTTCTATCTTGTTTCTCTTTCAGTAAGCTTGCTTTCTCCGGGTCGCTGTTAACAAATTATTGCCTTTTGTAAGGTAGTTTTGTAAGGTATATGATAGTCCATCATCATAGAACAAAGGTATTCTATAGCCCAATGCGGATTGGAAAATAATAACGACTACAGATACAATTGGGACCAATCATCAACTTTTGGTCACCCAGCCGTTTACTTTGTGAAAATAGGTTCACTACACAATCAAACCAAATACACTACATTACAGACGACGACTGGGTAAAAAAAATGTAATTTAGTCCGTCAGTCGGATAATAGAAAAATACGAGATGCGTATTTTTTTTTACTTTAATTTAACGAGATATAGCTTAGATAACAGGCATTAAAGTTGAGGAGTTGGAGCTTGCTCCGTCACAGTTTATAGAAAACGTACCATAACGTGACGTCATGCGAAATTTCAACTCCATGCATCGCCAATTTCAACACTCTACTTGACGGACAAACAAATAAAAATTAATCGTCATCCCTATTATGTAACTGTTATGTGAGGGCACTTTTAAAATCAAAAAATCTCAACAGATATTATACATGCTATAGTTGATTTTTCTATAAGGCTTTCACGCCACCTTGAATTAAATTAAATTTGGTAAAAACAGACTTCACAAAGTTGTAAATGTCCTTATACAACTTTTTTTCGCAATAAGTTACAAAGGAAAGTTTGTATGGAAGGTCACCATCGCCAAAGATAAAACTGTGAAACTTACTTGATATCATATGAATAAATATTTCTAATGAAATATTCTTAAAACATCCACTTTGTCCTTGACACTCTGAGATAGGACTCGGATCCATGACTTTTACTTCTTTCAGTAGTTTGTGGATTGCCTGAACAATGATGAAAATACGCTCTGTAGTAGTGAAAAAGTAACAAGTGCTTGAAAAATTCGTCAATCGTGTTAGGTAGCTCAGTGGTTAGAGCAGTCGCCTGAATTGCGAAAGGTCATGGTTCGAGTCCCATCTCAGAGTGCCAGGGACAAAGTGGATTTTTTTAAGTATTTTTCATTAAGAATATTTTTACGCGGCAATAGCGGCGAGCAAAAGTATATTTATTGAAATCTTACTTTTCTCTTTGCATTATATCCTTGAATACTTTTAAAACTGGTGTTTGGGTCTCCATGTCTGATTTTTTGTCATATCTGAAATTAATGCAAACACTTTACACAGGGGTGGGCAAACGGTCGATCGCGATCGACCGGTCGATCGCAAGGGAATCTATGGTCGATCGCATTCCTAAAAATGTACTGACGTGTTGGGCTAATTCCAATAACAGTGGTCTTTTCACCAGTCAAAATACCAGTATCTAAAGTGCGTTCATATAAAACATTTTATTTTACACGCGCGTAACTTTAAGAAGAAAATACTTGTCAACAAACAACCTTTCACTGCGAAAATGTCGATATGAAATAAGAAGGCACCAGATTTATTTGCGGCTGTACTGTGCACGTGTGCCGGTGTCGGCTCGTTAAACGGCGCGGCGGCGTCCTTTGACCTGTGCGGGCGGCGAATTAGCTTTATGCTTGCCGCCCGATTTACTTTGCTTTGACAATTGCCGACGGCCGGCACGTGTTCGCCAGTCTCGCACAGATTTTGGTTTCGGTGAGACGTCATGTCGTGATTCTGGATTCTGTACTTGTTTATGTTTCCCAATAACTTTCGTGATCGTGTGACTTCGTGCTGCTCATGAATATATTTTGTACTGAGGGTAACTAAAGGAGAGAGTGAAGTTGGTAACTATTATTTAAAATGAGTGCGCCAAAAAAAAGTAAAACTTATCATTTCAACGATGAATGGGAAGAAGAATTCTTATTTACCATGGTGAAAGACAAGTGTATTTGTCTTGTTTGTCGAGCTTCAGTAGCTTTGCCTAAACGCGGCAACTTAGAAAGGCATCATAAATCCTTGCATAAAATTTACGAAAGTGATTTTCCTCTCAAAAGTGAAATAAGACGTCAGAAAGTTCAAGATCTGAAAGGTAGCTTGAAGGCCGAGCAAGCTATGTTTACCAGGCCAAGTAAACAATCGGAAGCTGCGACAGTTGCGTCCTTCAAAATATCTCATATATTGGCAAAACACAAAAAACCCTTTGAAGATGGCGAGGTATTGAAAAAAGCATTTCTCGAAGGCGCAAATTCATTATTTGGCGACTTTAAAAATAAAACTGAAATCATGTCTGCCATAAAAGAGCTCCAGTTGTCTCGTCGGACTGTAACTAGACGTGTTGAGCTCATGAACAGTGATATCGAGCAAAAGCTAAAAAGTGATATTATGAGATGTTCATTCTTTTCTTTACAATTTGATGAATCCACTGATATGATTGACACCGCCCAGCTATGTGTGTTTATTCGGATGGCATTTCCAGATACGTCGTCTAAAGAAGAGTTCTTAACAATCATACCTTTGAAAGAAACCACTCGCGGTTCAGACATATACGATGCTTTTCTAAGTTTTGCGAAAAACTACGAGCTGCCTCTGTATAAACTAGTGTGCATAACAACAGATGGAGCACCATCAATGACTGGAAAGACTAATGGATTTGTGGCACTGTGCAGAGCTAATGAAGACTTCCCATCTTTTTTTTTTTTCATTGCGTCATTCATCAGCAGGTGTTGTGTTCGAAAGTACTGAACATGGCAGATGTGATGAGCATCACTATGAAGATCGTAAATTCTATACGAGCCAGAAGCTTGCAACGACGCCTCTTCAAAGTGCAATTGGAGGCCAGCGAATCTGAGCACACAGATTTATTGCTCCATACAGACGTAAGGTGGCTGAGCCGGGGAAAGTTCTTAGAACGGTTTCAAGAATTACTACCTGAAATCATTTCTTTTCTGGATCAAAGGGGTGATGACACGGAGATTCTTAAAAGTGAAAGTTGGCTGTGTGATTTGGCTTTCCTTACTGATGTGACTGGTCATTTGAATTCTATAAACCTGGAGCTACAAGGGAAAGATAAAACTATTATGGACATGATTAGCACAATTAACTCATTTAAAAGTAAATTGCAGCTTCTGATCAACCAACTGAAAAAAAAGGACTTGAAAAATTTTGCGTGTTTGAAAGCAAAAACAAGCGCCGTAATAAATTATAATAAATACGAAACAGAACTTGGAAATATTCTCAGCGAGTTTGAAAGACGTTTTTCTGACTTACAAAAATTGACGAACGTTGTTACTTTCATGATTTATCCTTTTTCTTGTGTGGATGTTGAAATTACTGCTTCTGAAATATCGAATACTTTTGACATGGATTTGTCTTCTCTCGAAAACGAGATGATACAGATCATTTCAGATGTTCACCTAAAAGCCAAAGCAACAGATATCAGTTTTTGGTCTCTTTTGACCCAAGAAAAATACCCAAGTCTCCAACAAATCGCACAGCAATTAACTGCTTTGTTTGGGTCGACGTATTTGTGCGAATCTGCGTTTTCTGAAATGAAAATAATTAAATCCAAATACCGCAATCGACTTACCGACGAACATTTGTCTTCCTGTTTACGTTTGGCACTTACTAAATACGTTCCTTCCTATGAGAAATTAGCAGAAAATACGCAGTGCCATGCATCGACCTCTAAGTAAATCAGTCCAGAGAGGCCCGAAAACTGATAAAAACACTCTTAGTTCATGTGATTGGCTTCATACTTATTTTTAGTAGTTATTAGTTATTAACTTGTATAATAAGAAACTGTACTTCTTTAATTGTAAATAAAAGTATATTTAAATAGTGATATGTGCGCAATACCTACAATAAACGATTTAACATAAAAAAATATTGTCTTATTGCAAGTCGATCGCTTGTCGTCTCAATTTATTGATATAGATCGCCATTAGTGAGAGTCTGCCCACCCCTGCTTTACAAGGATAGATTTAACGAATATACTGAATAGCCTGGGTGGATTAATCATTGCTTATAGTATCTTCTTTTACTACATTTGCATGCTATTGTTAATGGCTGAATAGGCGATAATTGTATTACCTTTTACATCTCTTTTGTATACCCTATTTAAAAGCAAATAAATTATTATTATTATATATTATTATTATAAATTGAATTCACAAGAAATCTATTCAGCAATCTCTCAAATTAAGTGACTGCATGATTTAGCATAGAAGCTTTAAGGTTAGCTCACATGGTTAGGCGTAGAGGCAAATACAATTGTACCCTCAACGTCAGCACGCAACTTAGACATAGAAGCAGCATGCATAGTTACGCACAAAGACAATAGACAAGCACTTTCAAAAGCAGCTCGCAAATTAGGTATAAGGCAGAACCTTTAGACACACCTCACATAACCATGCGTAACCAGGCATACAAGCAATAACACTGTGCTTTCGAAGGCAGCTTGCAAGAGATACCGCAGGCTTAATCCATAGACTATTTAACATATTTGGCCAGCCAACTTTAGAATACCATTGCTTAAAAAAAAATTGATAATTCTCTCTTGACACGAATAAACTTAAGTCATTGTTTTTTAATCAATTTCTAGACTTATTCAATATGTAATTATTATCATTAATCTATCATTATATTTAGTATATCATCACCAATCTATTAATGATCCCACAGCTAGGTTATAAGCCTTCTCTAAGAATGAGATCGAATAGAAAAGGGTTTCAACATTTTTAACATCAACACTTATGCTTTATGAATGAAATGATAAATAAAACTGCAAAAAATTAACAGATAACGAATTTTTGAAATGCTTAGACTGATATCCCTCGAACGATCTGGAAACTATATTTCTTAAAAAAATTGTCATACAAATTATATAAGTGGGATCCAATCATTAAAATATTGCCATAAGGTTGCAATATGATGCATGAAATGTAAACGTAACAAGTAAAAAACAAACTGTACCCTCTCTACTATGCCCTCTACATCGGATCAATTGCGTACTATACCCGCATGAATCCAATATTCAATAGTACCTACGAGTCAAAATTAATTTACTTCATTAGAATAACCTTTTGAAACTACGAACAGCTTCAGTGTGTTTTGGACCAACTAAATTATTTATTTCATGTAATATCTAAATCTAAACTCACCTTTTGCAGTTTGATTCCATAATTTTATTGACACATAAGACATTGATCGTTTGATTTTTCTGTCATATCTTATCTTACATAAAGGAGTTTCTACAGAATTCACTATGCTTACACTAATACTATATAAAGATAAAGTTTCTTGTAACTTTGTTTGTTTGTAGGGGGTAATCGGAAATACTAATCCGATCATGAAGATTATTTAACCTACATGAAGCTACATTATATGCGGGTGCTATGGGCTATTATAATTTACGCGGGCGAAGTCGCGGGGAAACAACCAATAGTTATATAATAAGTTAACCTAATGCTCGATATTCACAAAAAAAACCTAATTGGGATTCTGCATTTCCACTAGATATAAACTTTAACAGCTAAATTACATACGAATTCTCCGCGAATTTTTCATAAAAAGTTATAAAGCTATTAAAATTGGTAGCATCACAAAAGCTATCCAAAATCTTCAATCCTTTCCTAACTAAAAAACCTCACTGTTAGTAATAGGCATGTTATTTTCTAGAATAATAAAATACAAAAGCTTCTATTTGAAGTTACCAATCCTGTTCCGCGCTAAAACTAGACTTCATTTCAACATCTTAAAACTCTTTTACGAAATTCTCAATCCTTTCCTGAAATATTAGTCTCGTGGATACCAATAAGGAGGTCATTCTGAAAATTCTAATGTATTTTATATTTAATCCTCTTTTCCCAACACCCAACGAATAAACTACACGATCCCGACGCTTTAGATCGGCATTTATATGATCCCCTAAGGAGCAGGAGTGTGTACTAGCAATTATTTTTGCGGCATCTCTAACATATCAAATATAATTTTATTGCTCGCCATCCTTACGACATAGTGTAACTTTAGCAGTGTGATAAGTTTGATATTTATTATTTTTGCAGAGAAATAGGTATAGTTGTTTTGCTATATTGCAAAAAAAATGAGTCGTTCAATAAAACTTTAATTTTATAGCTCTTTTATATAAGGGCGATTTTATTTGTTGAACTTCTGAAATAGCAAATGTGAGCGTCAGTTTATAAATATTTTTCAATAAACTTTTCATATACCATTACGAGCAGCACTTCAGCTATATTCCACAATATGTTTTCTGCAAAGGTTTTTGTACTTTACTTTTATTACATCGATGTTTAAACTTTGAAATTTTATATAGTTAAATTGTAGCTGGGTGGTGTACACTATTGTTGTTGTTAAGCAACTTTCGCAATGGTCGGTTAAAAAATACATTATGTCAAGCTACTCTGTGTTTCAGAAGGCAAGTTAAACCGTTGATCCCGGCTGTATTTGGAATCGTTAATACCCTCTAATCCGCATTGAGCCAGTGTGGAAGGTCATGGCCCATCCGTCTTATCCATCCATAAGGAAGACCTGAGCACCTGCAGTAGAGACGTAAAAGGGCTGATGATGATAGTAAACTTTTATAGTTAATCGTAATTTTGTATTAATGTTATTTGTAGTTCATTTAAATCTGATGTTTTTGCGGTTTGTGCACGGATACAAGGCATACAAGGTGTGGAACTTGCTAAGCATTATATTTTTATAATTAT